TCCTATTATAATGTTTCTTATTCCTTACTCTCCCAAAACAGTGTTCGTACCAATTACGAGTCGTATATATATTTATCTTAATTACAATTGTTTTTGTGTATTACATAGGGCTGGAATTTTTAACCGAAAAACTGAAAACCGAACCGAAAAAACCCGAACCGAGCGGGAAAAAAACCTGAACCGAAACCGAACCGACTTGATTGGGACCCGAAAGTTGGGACCCGAATAAAAATCGGTCCGGAACCGTTTCTTTGAGATTGAAAATCGGTTCAAACCGAACCGAACCGATTTATTTATTAAATAATAGTTTTAAATTATTTTATTTAATTTCTTTAACTAATGTATGTAATACATTTGGCATCCGGACTTATCAATAATCCGGAGTAGCTCAGCGGTGAGAGGTAACACGCTCCTTTCGTGTCACGCTTGTTCGAATCCCCCCAAAGAAGGATTACCTTAAAAAAAAATTGCTTTTCTTCCGCCCCAATTCTTCCAATTTGATTTTCTTCAGCCTACAACTCGTCCCACACCGGATGAAATAGAGGATTCACTCCTCATATGAGCCTATATAATTGCTCCTTCATAGCTGATAAGGACTAAGTTGCTAGTAAAGCTTGAGTGCGAGTATTAGCTACAATATAAACAAATATTGAATGCCCATTCGGTTTTTTCACAAAAACCGAAAAACCGGACCGAAAAATTGGTTCCCGAAAAATTGGGTCCCGACTTAGATCAGTTCGGTTTCGGGTTATAGAATATAGGAAACCGAAAGATCGGTTTGGTTCGGATATTTCCTATTTCGGTTCGGGAACCGAACTGAATCCAGCCCTAGTATTACATATATACTCTATCATGTCATTTAGACATTACCTATTATTGCTTAATATTATTATTTAATTAATGTACCGCGCATCGTGTGGGTGTAAATCTAGTTTCTAACAATAGAAAATTGTCAATAGACAGCCCACGGGCTCGTCAGTCGGTCCAGAATCCCTAAAATAAAAAGACGTGCAAAGCAACGTACTTCAGTTCTTGAAGGCCGGCCAGAAGTCGCAACTGGCAACTCCAGAAGTATAGTCGTCCACTCATCCTCTTTGGCGCTTCGCGGCTCTCACGTCTCTGAGTCTCAGACAGTCACACCGGTTGGCTATTGGCAGTGAGCGGTGGCTGCCCAAATCTTCTGCCGCATCTCTAACTTTGCCGGTTGTCAATTCTTCTACTCGCTGCTGGCTTTTGGTATATTATACATCCGGATGTACGTAGGCATGGTACATCCGGCCCCCGAAGTATTATGATGGACAGGAGCACTAAAAAACTACAATAAACGAATCAACTAAGATAGACAGACCAATAACTATCCAAAATTAATTCGGTGGCATTTTTGTAATTTAAGCGAAAAATCACGGTTTCCGCTAAATGAGCAATAATGTACCTTTAATGATCATCAAACCTATTTTATTGAGTATTTAAGATACTAACAATGAGTATCACGATATCTGCTTCATATCTTCTAATTCTTTTTTCTTTTTCTTATTTTTTCTTTTATAAAAACTTATTATATTATGACTATAATACACTACTATTATTTTTAATATGCAAATCTAATGTAATATGATACTTTTGAAATATGCATTCATATAACAATTCAAAAATGAGCATTAACATCAGTACCAAATGAGCATACATAACTTACAAAGTGTACATTGATATGAAAATCAAAAGGTTTGTTAGTTGAACATCATGACATTTTAATTGAGCTTCAAACATCCGCTATAATGAGATGAAAATCATGGCTTCTTGTGCAAAAATCCGCATTTATGAACATTTAATGAGAATAAGATCAGTACCAGATGAGCATATGTAAGTTACAAAATGAGAAGTAATGAATTTGTTCGTTGTTTTGTTAGTTGAACATCACGATATTTTCATTGAGCATCAAATCTCCTCTATTGAAATCGATGAAAATCACAAGTTCTGTTAAATGAGTATTAATGAAATTTTAATGAGTATCAGACCTATACAAATGAGCACATGTAGCTTACAAGATGATCATTGATATTAAAATTGTAAGTTTTGTTCATTGAGCATCAAGACATTTTCAGTGAGCATCAAACCTCCGTTATTGATTATTAGAATCATTGAGTATCATGATTTGTGGTCTCGTGTCTATAATCAACATCTATATAAATCTAATGTAATATGAGACTTGAAATATGCATTGCGAAAACATTTTAAATTTTGAGCATAATAGAGATACTAAATGAAAATATATAATTTACAAAACGAGTATGCAAAAATTCAAAAGCTCATTTGTGTATATTCATTTTTAGGCGTTTTACTCATTTGAGTTTAAAGTAAAATTCATTTCTAAATTGTTCAGTATTAATATATAAAGAAAAAAAAGAACTAAATAACAAATAAAGAAACCAAAAGAAGTAAAGAAAAAAGACAAAACAAACGAAAGTAAAAACTAACGGTAAAAGTAAAGAAAAAATTAAAAAAGAGTAACAATCATGAATGAGTATGGCATGAGTAACCCGCACGGGTAGCTCAGTTGGTCGAGTGGTGGGAGATTTGGAACAATGGACCAAGGTTCGAATCCCCGCAGCGACCGGGTGGAGGTCACAGAACCTAAAATAAGGTTGGGCCTCTGGTGCGCACGGGTGTATGGGCCTACTACCATTCTGCTGACTGAGTCATCGTGACTAACCTCCCCACCATCCTGTCGGGTCGGGGTGGGGGGCTCCTGGGGTGGGAGATTCCACCTTTTTTGGAACAATGAGTATGGCATGATGGTGGCAGAAGAAAAGAAAGAAAAGGGGATGACTGCAGGAGTGGAGAGAAAAGAGAACGACGGCGGAACAGGAAAGATGATGGAGAACATCTGTATTCAACCAGAAGATAGATCAGAGAGCAAAGGCTTATAGTTGCTAAAAATTACAAAATAACCGGATGTACACGTACACCCGGGTGTAGGATATAATTTGTGTGGCTTCTTGCGAGTTCCTCTACTTTGCCGGATGCTAGAGACGGGAGTAGTCATTAATTTGATCCAAAAAAAGAGTTGGAGCTAGAATAAACATATTTAAGTACATATTTAACTCATTACTAAAAATAACATTTTTAAGTATTATCTTGAAGTACAAAAAATAAATATTACTTCCTCCGTTCAATATTAAGTCCAACACTCCATTGGGCGCAGAAAATAAGAAACATGGATAGAGGGTTTGAGTTTCCCTTTTTATCCTTCAGAACAGGGAGAAGAGTGATGGATAGATTCGTAAAGTGCTACAGTGCTACAGTATTTTCCCCACAAAAATCTAAAAACTAAGGGAGAAGCCTATTTCTATCATCTTCTTGAACTATGTGAAGGGTGTATTTGGTGATGATGATTCCAACCTTGACGCTGAATTGTTCTCATCCTTCTTCTCTGAACGGCAAAAAAAGAAATTGGACGAAATTGAACGAAAAGAACAATAAAAAAATAAACTCAACTTCATGACGAAATTGAACGGCACCTTCAAGGCGAAATTGGACGGCACCTTCAAGGCGAAATTGGACAGCACCTCCTTCACTGGAAAATTGGACAGCAACACAGTTCGATGGGGAAACCCTTCCCTCTTTCCGCAAAAACGTACGATGATGTAGCATCCGGAACCCCCAAATCGAAGGTTGTGGTTCGTGGGGGAGTAAGCGGACCAAAACCAGTTTCATCACTGTCCACATCCTTCATTTAGCAACAAATTGGAGAAATGGAAAAAGAGGAAGATGGATGTGGAATTGAAAGAAACGAAGAAATGAATAGGGGAGATGAAAGTTGATGATGCTAGTGGAGAGAACTGGAGAAAGTAGAGAATCGGAGGTTGTAAAGATGAGAGTGGAGTAATGGAATCATTGGGTGGTGGAGGAGGAATTAAAGGAAGTTGTCAGATATGGGCAGAAGATGGGTATAATAATTAAGGGTATAAAAATAAATTGGCTTATTATTTACTTTCTAAAAGGGAAAGGTTGTATTTAATTTGAAACTGTTGAAAAAGAAAAGTGTTGCACTTATTTAAGAACGGATGGAGTATATTGGTTGGGCTAGTTGTTAAGGTATAAAAATTAAATTTCAACCTAGTAAACTATAAATATGTATAAAGATAATTTAGTAAATATAAATATAAATGTGTACATGTAAATAAATTAGTGTGTATGTGTGTGTGTACTAAATGTTGCGGGCCGGGCTAATCGGTCCGAACGTGCCTACACCCTAATCCAAGCCCTCCCTGATATTATTGCGGGTCAGGCTAGACCCGACCCGGTGGGTAAATATATATGCCCAAACCCGCCCATTTGTGCGGGTCGGGCGGGCCGGTTCGATTTTGTGCAGGTCTAAAGTGTAACCATTTTCCCCGGTTGATATATGTTTTGACCATATAAAAATAAATGGAATAATTTCCTTCTAAGCTAAGTAAACATGTACGGTGAATCTAATCTCTCATCATAGAACCAAAAAGAAATTAATCTCTCATCCAAAGTCACGGGAAAGTGTATCTATCTATTACGAAATAGTTGAATTGATATTAGTTATTTAGTACTTTCACGCGTCTTTTAGAAAATAATTAGCACTCCTAAATAGCAAATTAGTAATCAAATATTAAAAATTATACACTTATAACATCATATTTTTCATCAATGATTTCATTATTATATTTGCGCATTAAAATTACTTCTGAAAATATACTCGAATTACTTGATTTACTTATTGTTTAAATAATTATACCCATTTCGACGAGAAGCTTAAGCATGCAGGAGATGGTAAGTTTTCATATTAATGTAATATGAATTGTGACACTTATAATAATTTTACCAAAGATTTAATTATTAAATTTATATGCAGAATTATGTAATAATAAAATTAAATAATATTGAAATTATTTCTTTGGTTGAATCGATGGAATTGAAGATGACAATTTTAACTGTTTTAATGAGGATATCATCTTCCACTGATTTGGGGGATTTAACTATGCTGTTTTAATTTCCATCCCTACGAGTCTATGACACCGTTTCAGTACAATTTTCATAGCGCGCAGTTCCTGCCTTTCGAATTTCGGCCGTTATCTCTTCCTTCATCCCAACTCCTACCTCCGGGTCTTCAACTTTCCGATTATCGGCTCTACTTTTCTACCTTCATAAACCAGTCGTTCTTGCAGCTCATCAATCGCGTAACCACTCATAATTTCAGCTAATCAGCAGCACAGATAAAGCTTCAATCCTCATTCACATGGCCACGTATGCCCCGATCATGTCCTCCTACGATGGCCGCATCAGACCACTACTCGACTGCATCGACAAGCTTCGCAGCCTCAACATCAGTCAGGAGGGCATCCAGCTTCCGACCATTGTGGTCGTCGGCGACCAGTCCTCCGGCAAGTCCAGTGTCCTGGAGTCTCTGGCTGGGATCAGCCTCCCCATGGCGCAAGGGATGTCTACCCGGGTCCCGCTCATCATGAGGCTCCAGAATCAGCCCGACCCGGACTGCCCGCCAGAGATACATTTGGAATTCGGCGGGAAAATCGTCCCGACGGACGAAGCCCAGATTGTGGACGCGATCACTTCCGCCACCAATGAGATTGCCGGGCGTGGGAAAGGGATTTCTCGCACCCCTTTGACGCTGACGGTGAAGAAGTGTGGGGTTCCTGATCTTACGATGGTGGATTTGCCCGGAATCACCAGAGTTCCGGTGAGGGGCCAGCCACACGACATCTATGAGCAGATCAGAGACATGATTTTGGAGTACATAACCTCCGAGGAGAGCATTATACTGAATGTTTTGTCAGCCACTGTTGATTTCCCGACTTGTGAATCGATTAGGATGTCCCAAAAAGTGGACAAGACAGGGGAGAGGACCCTAGCGGTGGTCACTAAGGCTGACATTGCTCCACAAGGGCTTCTTGAAAAGGTTATCCGTTATTTATTTAAGATAATATTTTAACACCCTTTCCATCCCCAAACAATTTCTCACTTTAATTTAGATCAATTTTGGAGCAAACAGAACCGAAGTGATTCAATGCAAGTTGTTGTATGGGTTCTAGTCTAGAAAAGGAAAGCCCCTGTCTACATAGATAAACATAACATTATCAATCTGGAGGCAAGAGACCATAACGGGTTTATTCACACTTATATATCATTAATATCATACATTCGGGCATTTCTGGTCTTATTTTTCTGTATATTGTGTCAATCTTGACTTTCATCTCACAGGTCACTGCTAATGAGGTTCAAATTGGGTTGGGATATGTTTGTGTTAGGAATCGAATCGGTTCCGAATCCTATGAGGATGCAAGAAGCGAAGAAGCTAAGCTCTTTGATACCCATCCCCTCTTGTCCAGCATCGACAAATCCATGGTCTCTATTCCAGTTTTGGCTGACAAGTTAGTGAGCATCCAGGAGAGGATCATCTCAAAATGTTTGCCCGACATTGTTAAGAAAATCAATGACAAACTTGAATCAAATCTGGCTGAGTTGAACAGATTGCCACCAACACTAACGTCCATGTCAGAGGCGTTGGCTGTGTTGGTGCGGGTTCTGAACTCCACCAAGAATTCGCTGAGCAAACTTCTGCTTACAGCGGACTTCGAAGAGTATCTTGGGGAGACAGATATGCATGGCATCGCTAAGTTAATGGCGATGGTCAATGGGGGCACTGCTGTCTTGAAATCAGAAAATCTTGAAAATAAAGGCGGGAAAGGCTTCTTGATGGATGAAATCTCTGAACTAGAGATGGGAGGGTTATCAAATTTCCTCCCTCATCGGGCCTTCATCTATATGCTGCAGAAAAGACTCAATCAGATATCCCCGCTTTTAGTTAAACTGGTGGGAGATATCTGGATGTATATAGGAACAGTTGTGACCAATGTACTTTTGCTTCATTCTAAAAACTGCCCGCAAGTTAAGTCTTGCACAACGAGAGCTGCTGAAAAATTGATTGCGAAAAAGAAATCAGGGTCGGTGAGTTGGGTGATGGAGATGATTGGAATGGAGAAGTTGGGGAATTACACCTGCAATCCTGAGTACTTTGCAACCTATGACACTCTCATGCTTAAGCAAGGACAATTAACTGAGTCTGGTTTTGAAATCGCTGAAATTGGAGTTGGTGCAATCGAAGTTGGGCATCTCAAGAGTTATCGACCGGATGTGGTGAGACAAGCATTCGATATAAAGATGAGGATGGTGGCATATTGGAAGATTGTGCGAATGAGGATTGTGGATGGAATGGTGTTGCACATCCTGTTTACTTGTCAAAAGCTTGTGGATAAGGAGATAGAAGATGAAGTTATTAAGGATTTAACCGGGCATGGAGGCATTGAGAAGATGCTTGAGGATTCAGCTTTGGATGCAGAGAAGCGTCAATGCTTGCTCAAGAGCATCGAAATACTTGAGGAATCCAGGGATGTAGTCGCCAAGATGATGGACAGGATCACTCTTACTAACGAATAAAGGAATCTTGTTTGTTTATTATTGTATTGTTCATGAACATATACCCCCCCACATCCACTGCATCATATCATTGTGTGTACTGTACACAGTACACTTTTACAACTGTTAAATACTTAAAAGGGAATGTGTGTGTTTAAATGAGTAGTTATCTAGAGCAATTATGTGTATGATCGCAAATGACACTTTGGGATTGCAATACACATTGCAAAAAGGATTTTATGCTCAAGTATTTATTCAACACAAACAAAAAGGGAACTAATAGGTAATATTGGCACATCGCGAGACAAGCATATTAAGCTTGGGATATGAAGTTTGACATAGATTTTAAGGAAAGTGAAAAACTGGTCGGTGTTGCGAATTTGTAAAAGTGAGAATGATTGTGATTCATAATTGTTGGTAGAAAATAATCGGGGTAGAGAATTTGGCAGCATTTCAGTATAGTGAGAATAGCTTACTTGAATACAAAAGGTTGGTGGCCTATTTATAGGCGTATACAACAGGCCCACCAATAAGATGTTACATGGGCTTGGCCCGATTTATCAACTAATACTAACGCTAATGGGCCAATCAACCTGATAAGTAATTTGATAATCTCAGACTAGTATCTGCTGGTCGGACTGTGTTCTGAGCTTGGTCAGGCCAAAGCTCAGGTGTAACGGGCCAATATTCTTGGACTCGGCCCATTATCCCAACACGAGTCCCCCACTCCCTTAGTCGAGTAGTAGACTCAGCTAAAAGGGAGTAGTTAAGCTATTTTGGAATTGGTCTAGTCATTAACGAGCCTTGAATTTGATCCGGTTGCTTGTGAAAGGATGGAGTCTTCCTTGTTCTAACCGGGAGACCTCTTCCTTTGTTCACGATGACGAGGTGCCTCGTTAAAACCTTACTAGGAAAAAACCCAGTGGGAAAAAATCTCAGTGAAGGAAAAAGAGTACACCGGAGCCTTAAAATAAAGCAAAGGAAGGTCAATCCCCTCGGTTCTTGATTGAGTGACTGCTTTACTGGTAGGCCGAGATATGTTCCGAAAAGACCAGTCGTACGGTTGTTTGCCAGTGGTGTCGGTCGAGCGAAGGTATGCTTGGAGAAGGCGGGTCGCGGTTGTACGGTGATGATGGAGAACCGAGCTATGATCTGGAAAGGTCGGATGCAATATTGTCCACATTAATCCCGATTGCTTACAAAAGGATAGGATTTCTTTCATCTGGGTAGCAGCCCGAGGTCTTGCTTATCCTATTAAGAGCCTGGGGTCTTGTTTGTCCAATTAGAAGCCCGAGGTCTTGTTTATCCTATTAGCAGCCCGGGGTCTTGTTTTTGCGGTTAGCAGCTCGGGGTCTTGTTTGTCCGATTAGCAGCCCGAGGTCTTGTTCAAAATCAAGCAAAAGGGTGAGCTCTCCTGCCACTGCATGCAGCTGCAACGATTGCCATCTGCTGAGGGGATGACAAAGACCGGTCTTGGCATGCGGGTAGCTCGTCATGATCAGTAGTCCTTGTCATCAAATAAATATGACTAAAGGAATGAGTCGAGCGATCGTCCATAATATGATGTCTGGTTCATCAAATAAAGATGACCAGAATATAAGGCTGATGGGCCGATATGAGTTCCACGTCATAAAATAAAGATGTTAGGGCAATATTTGGCCGATGGGCCTGTATGAAAGCTCCACGTCATTGAATAAAGACGACGGGGCGATGTATGGTAGATGGGCCCGTAGATGAGCTTCTCGTCATCAAATAAAGATGACAGAGCGATATATCGCTGATGGGCCCGTAGATGAACTTTGGGCTCCTTTGACTATTCGGCCAGAGACTACGAGTGTCCGCTAGATCTGAACATGAGAACAAGGCATTGGACGCCTGTCTGAATATGAGGATGAGGCAGTGGATGACGCCTGTCTGGATATGAGGATGATGGCTTGATGAGCCGGTCTGATATAAGGACGAGGCATTCGATGAAGCCCGCCTAAATATGAGGACGAGGTGGTGGATGTCTGTCTGAAATATGATGAAATGCTGAGCTGGTCGTCATTTAGAGGTGACGGTCACCATCCAGGAAGGGATGGCGAGCCCGATCTCTAACTCAAGACACTCGACGCTACGAAACTGGTGTTGAGAAGAGTCACGCCGAGGTCGGGGGGCTGGTCGTGATATGAGGATGGAGATGCCGAGGAGCATGTCCGACATGACGTGGTGCTGAGAATAGCAAGCCCGGTCGCTAGCTCAAGACACTCGGCATTGGGAAGCCGTTGTTGAGATAGATCATCACGCCGAACAGGGGGGCGGTCGTGAACATGTTGAGACCGAGCGGCGTGCCGTCTCATCAAATAAATGATCACGTTGAGATCAAGTGGTCTGCCGCGATGCAAGGATGTCGGCACTAAGGGGCTGGTCCAGAAATCCACGCCACAGTCCTCATCCATGAAGTGAGAGAATGAGGCTGGTCTTCAGATAAATGATCACATTGAGACCGAGGGATCTGCCGTGATGCAAGGACGTCGGCACTGAGGGGCCGGTCCATAAATCCATGCAACGGTCCTCATCCATGAAGTGAGAGGATGAGGCCGGTATTCAGATAAATAATCATGTTGAGACCAAGGGGTCTCCTGTGATGCGAGGACGTCTCGTTTGGCATGCGAGAGGTACAGGGATGTAGGAGATGAGGCAGTTGCTTTGTTCAAAGCCCCTTACAGTTTTCGGAGCTCATCACTTCCAGGATTGAAGACCGGTCTCCGGAGTGTATCCGAGCTTAGCTGCGGAACAAGGAGGGTTGCAATTGGCTGACATGATATGTAGACTACCTGTGATGAGGCGAAGAAAATCGGACAATGATGACCTTGGAGTTGTTCTCTGTGATTGATTTTCGCTTGATCTTGCATGTATGCATCATTTGTTCTTTCAATTTACTTAGCCATTTTTCATTCAAGAATACTTAGAGAACTAATCGGGGATCTGGCTCCCCACCTAGGCCGTGAGGGGCGGCATGTTGGCAGGACCGACCTTGACCGCACCCTGCTTGGTAAGGCGGGGCTGACCCGCACACTATCGATCTAGGACCGATGGGTGTGCAAGCTGTTCGGCCAACGGTCAGACAACAGATGTACGAGAGGGGATCGGGGCACGGCCTCTCATATACCTTCGACCCGGAGGCCGGTCTTACACCTTGACTTGTACAGCTAGTTTCATACTTAGGAAAAATCTTGTTATCACTTTCTCAAAGTCAAACTGAAGTTGGCCAAATGTAAGGGCGAGGCCCTGCATGATCAGACCAGAACGGACCTGCACTGCTGACCATATCAAATGAGTGTGCGGGCTGTTAAACCTAGCAACGTCAGACAACGGATGTACGAGAGAGGCTCGGAGCATGACCTCTCGCATACCTTCGGCCTGAAGACCGGTCATATAGTCGCCGCACCATTGATTGGATCAAACGAGTATGCGAGCTGTTTAGACAGCAACGTCGGACAACGGATATACGAGAGGGGATTGGGGCACGACCTCTTTCATACCTTTTCGACCCGGGGCCGGTCTTACGGTCGCCATGATCGAGCATCTAATCCTAGACTTAGAAAATAGTTTGATCATTTCCTTGTTCGAGGATCGAGCCGTGGTCGACTAAACACCGAGAGCGGGGCATTATAGTTTTTTTTTTGGCCGCCGCCCATTCATTTCCAAGTGAGGTCGGACCTCAATAAATTCTAGATTGAAAACTTTTTTAAAGTAATGAAAGAATTTGGGAACTTGAGGAGTTGCTTCGAGTTCTGCACTTCGTGCTTGATCACAATCTTGGTATGCTCCGCTCATAGGATTTGACAAGGTGCCTTGTGCTCCGTACTTGATCTACAAGTTTGTCCGTCGTGGTCTTCAACGCGTAAGATCAATCAAGAGCCATGCACTGAACTTGGCCGTTTGTCCCGATCTCTTGAGATTGACCTGGATAACTATGCTTCCGAGTCTTCATGTAACAACTCTTCGTTGCATGGTCTGTACCCCCTCGTCAACGGTGCTCCCACCCTGCACCTGGAGCGAGGTGGAGATGGACTTTGGAGATGTCGACCCGCGTAGGGGTCCGTCCAACCATGATGATGTGATGAGTTTTTCCCTCGGTGTAAGATTGTGTGGGAAGCCCTTAACTTCCTTTGGATAAACTGGGACCGACTTGAGTTGACTCGTACGAGCTTGGCCAGCATGATTTTCACCAGTATTATATAGGACATGCACTCCGGGAAAGGGATGTGCAACCAAGCCTCCTGGTGATGACCGTGTGGCCATCTCTCTAGGGCGGGCTCGTGCAAGGGTACCCAATTCGCCAGTTCATGGTGCAAGTGTTCATTGTTGACGAAAACTCGCCAATGACGTGAATTCTTGTCATCTCCCTCTTTAAGTGATTATGCTCATGGTGCACGGGTGCACGGCGTATGAGCTCTCTGATGGGCAAGAGTACAACCGTGGTCTCTCATGTACGTCAGTAAGTCACAGCCGACCACCTGGGCCGTCAGAAGGTCTGTGGCATCTTCCTCCTCAATTAATCATGTTCAGCTACTCGGCCCCGTACAACAAAGCCTCTTGGTGGTGGCCGAATGCTCACGTCGCCGGGTTGGGCTTGTACGACCACGCATCCTGGTGACGACCGTGCGGCCATCTCGCCATGGTGGACTCGTGCAACCAAACCTCCGGGCCGTGACACTGCGTCCACCACTCCAAGTGGGGCTCGCGCGGATGATACCCAACCCACCACTCTGTCCTTTGAAAAAAAACGGAATGGGAAGAGAAGAGTTTTTCGCGAGGCTTATATACGCGATAAAAAATTTGGACCTCCTCCGTAACAATTGAGCCCGAATTATTGGGCTGGCACACAATGCTCTTTTAAAGTTTTCGAGGCCCAAAACCAGTAAAAAATAGAGAGCTCCCCCTTAAACAGTGAAAATTAGCTCCCCCTCTAACAGTGAGAATTTTCTCCCCCTCAAACAGTGAAAATGTTCTCCCCCTCAAAAATGCAACGAACAATATGTACAAATGCAACGCACACACACTATTTTTGTTCTTTTTTGATTTTTCACACGCACTCAACATATGCAACACACTCACACTATTTTTTGTTATTTTTCTGGTTTTCTCCCCCTCAACACATGCAACGCACACACACTATTTACAAATCCCACACACACACACTTTTTACAGGTCCCACACACACACACATTTTGTAGATCAGTGGAAACATA